AGAATCAAGCACGGGTATTGAAGATCTATCGCTGCCAAACCGACTTCGTTTCTGGCATCTCCTCGACCGGCAGTTAAAGCTATGATGAATAAGACGTTCGTGAATAAGACAGAGTCGTTACTTGCATTATTTATCATTTTACATTCACTCACCAATCACTACGCAGGATTCCGCATTACTGGATGTGGCGAACGGCGTCGATTTCGTAGGATTAGCTGAACTAATAGATATCGAGACATATTTTTTTTAATGAAAAATATCAGGAAAATAGGATTATACAGAATGATTTTATATTAACTGGGCTGTAATTTTCTTCTAAGTGTCGATACAATATAGTTTTCCAAGAAATGTCCTAAGGACGTTTTCAGAACGTCCCTCAGAAAACTGTGTTGTGTAGAGAAAAATAAAAAAAAAATTTTTTTAATTCAACACAAAATTAGGTCTTAAGTAAAGTCTGTTTCCAACACAAATACGAAATATTTTTTACTGTATAAGAATATAGAAATAAAATCATTTAAAAGCTGATAATTAATAACAAAGAAAAGTTTTGTTTTAACATGTTTATTGACAAATATGTTATGATATCTCTATTTATTATAATTATAATTTATTATAACTTTTTTCTAATTTTCAATCTTAATGTAAAATGTCTAGAAATATCAAGATAAAATATAATATTTTATTATAATATTTGTCACTGAACATATTAAAACAACATTTTTTCCCTTAATTATTAACTTTTAAATAATTATTTATCTTTAATCATACTATGTATAAGAATACCAACAAGTTCAAAGTCAATCATTAAGAGAAAAAAATATTTATTTCGACACGTCCTTTGACAAATAATAGAATAACAAGTGGAATCAGCTTCTTTGTAAAAAGAGACTTATAAGCACGAGATTTATAGCTCACCCTACACTACGTCGAGAAGTGCTCGGCAAATAGGACGATGTAGAGATGGGGTTTTCTTTGCGATTGTACCTTGGCGTCTTTGCATTGGAATTTACGGGTCCAGAATTTGCCGGTGGTCTCAGAAAATCTGAGTTGAATTCTACGCCCGTAAAAGTATAGTACATCCATAAAAAACCGTGTTTCGAATGACAAAACGGAAAACGCAGCCATCAGATTAGAAATTGAAAATATAAATTTTAAATGATATTTTAAATGATAATTTATTTTAATTGAATCAAATTTTGTCTCTCTCTTAATTAAACTGGAAAATTGTATATAAAACGAAAAGAATATTAGGTATCAAGATTCATTTGACTGAATAAAACTCTTTTCGCTTATTTTTGTTAATTTAATCATGGCGACAGTAAACGGAACCTCCTTAATTTTTCTAAATATAAATCAATAAACCGTGAAAATAAGATGTACGTTAATTTTTTAGTGATATATGTCACTTACGATATTTCGGAAATATATTCGTGGCACGTTGTGCGTTCGATATTGAAACGATTCTGCCTCTCGCATAAGCGCGCCGTCCTCTCAGCGGAGCAGCCTGTATCACATTCATTTTACACAGCGAGGAGGCGAACTGGTTCTATGGAATATCTTAAAGATCTTGCAACTTGCCGTATAAATCTTAATAGATCTATTCTCTGTGGTAGCACTGTGTTAAATTCACACAAAGGTCGAAAAAATTCAGTTGCAAAAATCAACACTCTCTTATTCAACGTCGTTTATTCTTTTAAGTTAATTTCTTTATCGTTTGAATTTATCTTCATAATAATGTGGTAAATTCAGCCAATCAAATCCTTCGAAATGTCACTTGAAGTTTAACCTGATTTTATAACGCCGTGTAACTTATTTGAATTCTTACGCGCGTACGTCTAAATTCATATGTATATTTTTTAAATCTTACTTGACTTTTTTCACATAACTAAGTGTAATTAATGTTTACATATTATTGTTTTATAACCAAGAAGTCTATTTATAGCGATTTTTTTTTAATAAAATAGTCAATCTTCTCCAACAAGAAGAGACGAAGCAAAAAATATTATGAGATTATATATAAATGTTCCTAAAATAAAACGTTCAAAATGTTGTTATAATTAAATATTAAAAAATTAAAATTAATTATTAATTTATATCTCAAAATTATATTTACATACCTAGTTACATAATTTTTTTCAAACAAAAAATGTTAGAGAGATAACATAATTGACTTAAATTAGAAGAAGAGAAAGGTGAAAAACGTTTAATGAAAACTATCTCTCTCTTATTCTCATAGTAATATATTTATTCACAATTTCGTGTTCTTTTAAGAATTTGCGATGAATGTATCCACTTGGGTTAATAATAAATAACACGATCACAATCATTATATCCCTCTCGAAATAAATTATCGCTCTTTTTATCGTCATCTCTTAGAATTTAGTTACATTTGTATTTACATGCATAATCAAATCGATTGTCTTCGGCTACTTTACGCTTCGGATTTCTCAATTCGCGCGACAGTAACTGGTATTACATAAAGCTGTTTAAACGCCTCGCTCTGGACAGACGAAGAGATAACACGTGATGTACGGTGATTCGCGAAAAAATTTAGCTGTACGTATTTACAGATTGAATCTTCTAACACATAAACTTAACGTAGAACATATTGCGCCGATCCCGAATGAATTCTACATATATATTAAGGCTAAGTTAATCGCGATTAATGTATCGCGTATACAGACTTCTCTATAAGATCGAAAAAAGATTTATTAACAGCATAATTAACTAATTGAAGAGAATTTTGTTAAATCAATATTAATAATAAAATAAATATATCATGTTTTACATAATAAAATATTATATATTTTATTAAGGTTCCTAAGTAATCCATGTTAGCCATATTAAATCGTGACGTCATAAGTAAACATTGATTTTCCTTACACGTCATTTGTAAAGAAAAAGAATTTTTGATGAAATAAAATGATAAGATCACTTGTAAAAATGGGCCGAGATTATCCTTGCTTCACCTAACAGTCAGCAAATAACCGTAAAAGATGTAAAGTGCATTTACTAGTTTTTCGTTACTCATGAGTAATCTATTTTCACTTCACGAGTCTTTTGCGACTAATTACTGATTCTTAGAGGAGACGAAGATAGTCTCGACCCATCTTTACAAGTATTTTAAAGCGATTTCATCCAAATTCTCTTTATTTACGAATGATATGCAAAAAAAAATCAACGTTATTTCTCGCTTATGACGTCACGATTATATGACTGCTCAGTATTCTGTAACTTTTAACGACAGTGTCGATATAGTTACAGTGTCGTTGCGCAGCTTTTTTATCGTATGAAATATCTGCGCAACGACACCGTAACGATATCGACACTGTCGTTAAGAATTACAGAATAGGGCCTCGAGTCTTAATATTGTCACCGAATTAATAAGATTATTTTTAATTAGACCTCTGTTAATTAATGCTGTTAATACGTTTTTTTTTTTCGTTTATCCGTAGTTAAAATTCCGGGCGTGACACCAGCCACAATCGCGGCATTAAACGAGCGGATTTCTCGTTTGATATTATCGATAGCTTGGATGCAATACGACGCGGCGCGCTAAACGCAAATTACAAAGGTAAGATAAAGGCAAAGAGTTTTGCATAATATATAGTTCCAGGGTATAAATAATGCAACACTAACGATCCACACAAGAGACCCAAGCATCTGAGATATTGAATAACTATCTTACGGCAATACAAGCATTACACATACGTGTTGCACCGGTTAACGTGTCATCCTCGTAACAGGGCACAAAGGGAAATCCAGCCGATCTGAGAAAACGATCGAGATCCTAACAGATTCACGTAGGAATTCTCATCATCATTTACCTTAGAACGAGCAGATTCCACATTATGCGAGGCACCGAATGTATATTATAATTGACGGCACCGTTGACGCCTTGCCCATTACTGTACGATAAAATTTATAATGACGCAACAGCAGCAGAGTACAAGGCTGATCGTTAATCGATCACAATGCACATAGAAAATAGGTTTTTCACGCACGCATGCACGCAACACAACCGCAGTACGCATAATATGTGTACAACAGGCGCGCGATCAATTAAGTTTTTATCACATTGTAGACTTTTCATCGGAGAGCTTACGTAAAAAAAGTTTCTTAATACTATAGATATTACTTTTTAAAGAACTTTCAAGTGTGTACCGATCGCTCGCGACTACATGTCGTGGAAACTCGGCAATTATAAGCCTACAAAACGCATGCACGGTCATTATTTTTATCCTAATGATCACCTTTGTCATATCTGCGTTAAAAATAGTGCATTCTCGCGTATAGCTAATACGAATCCGCACACGAAGATCGAGCTAGTTTCGTACGCATATAGAACATTTGCAATGATTATTAAGTGATTATTAAAATATAAAGACGTAAAATATATATATTATATATATAGTTACCTTACTATAGTCAATGCTTAATTGAATTAGCTCGCATATACATTTTATGTACAAAAAATGTCACAATCACAATTCACAAGTAAAACATAATGTGTATACATATGTATTCATAGTTACCTATATATTTATATATATATAAAATTGACACAATGCAGATACCACATGCAATATATAATCACTAAATAACTTTCTTGCGTTGCCTCAATGCAGATTAGCTCAATTTTTGCTATCTGCAGATAAGTAAAATGTGTTTACCTTTTTTTTTTTTTAAGGGAAAAAGTCTAATGATTTCTGACTCGTTAAACTACAACGATTATCGATCATTGTAATGATCTCATGTTAAACATTAAATTCAATTAAAAATTTAAAAAATTATAATGCAGAGAATGTATATATAGAAATAGATAAATATCTTTCTTTATCTAATCCATCTAATCGACATAATGAATCTTCGATATTATCATTCCACTAACAATTAACAATAAATGATTCATAGAATGATAGCTTTTTGGCACACTGGCGATTAATGAATGTCAGCGTTTCCGGCAAACAAATATAGAGGTGATCCAATTATTATGGGGTATATAAAAATCTGATGTAGTTCCGTTTATATATAATATAAACCGGTAGAAGTATTAAAAATGATGGCAGGTAGGTATAGATATGAAAACAGCACCGCGTGCATATATTATTCAAAGGTGAATATAGAAATATGTCGAGTAACTTATTCGAGTGTATATTATACGTGACTTTCGAGGGGCACCTTGAAAACCTTGGACGCGAGACTGGCGTCCGGCAATGACTGCGGCCGAGCGGCATTGGTTACGTTGAAGACAACGTTACTGGGCCCACGAAAGCTCACCTCGATCAGAAAGCTCGTGTCAGCCATGCCAACTCGATTGGTGCTGAGATCGGGGGAACTGGTTCTGAGCTGGCTCTTCTTCGGTCTGTAGTCACTTCTAATGACTCTCTCGGCCTCCGATTGCAATTTATTATCGAGCCAATGCACCTTGTCAAAGTCCTTGGTACTGCCGACAGTGTGCCTTCGTTTAATCGATCGTTCCGACATCCCGTTCTTTCGCTTTAATTTCGTGGCGCTCTCTTTTCGCACCGATTGTCGACGCTTGCTGATATTGCATTCGGTCTTTTCAGTCTTTGTCAGCGATTCCGAGCGTTTTAGTTTACTACCCGGCGACTCTGATCTATCAGAGTGTTTGTTTAAGCTTTCGGATCGCTTGAGTGGCGATAGTCTCTCGGTTGAGTGTTTATTTAAGCTTTCCGATCTCTTTAGTCGCGACGTGGTGTTTTCGCATGTCCTCTTATTCAGAGACTCCGATCGTTTTAGGCGAGACCTCGTTTGACAATTCGTCAAACTCTCAAATTTTTTCAGTTTGTTGGAATAACTAGAATCTCCGGTCTCGTAATGATGGCTCCTGCTATTATCCTCCATTTTTGCACTAACGTCGTTATTCTCCGATTTATTTTCCTGAAGATTCTTTTCGTTCGCCAGTTCGTATCGTTTTGGATTTCCCACACGTAGGCGATCGTCCTCTTCGTCCACATCTTTCTGATCTTCATTTTCCGTCGTGTGATTTGAAGTAGACTTCGTTTCCAGTCGCTGCTTGTCATTCGCGCCGCGATCGTTGTTCGGCGTGACGGATTCCAAAGGATCCGGCATGTCATTGGCTACCGTTGAGTCGGTGTCTTTTTCAGGAGCGTCCTGTAATAATCGAAATGGAAAGTGATGATAATGATAATGTAACTACACATATAATCCAAATGCTTGTCGTACAAAAAACGAATGAATGTAATAAGTCTTACTCGTTACACTCGACACTTACATCCTTCGAGCGGGAGAGGTGACTCTTGTCGAGCGATTTATGAAGACTCGGGTCTCGATAAGTTTCGGCAGACGGATATTTGAATCTCGAAGACATGCTCGACCTCTGCATCGGATGTACCGTAATACCGTCATTATTGCAGGCTGTGGATTCCGGAAGAGGCTGCGTTTGATTAGATGACTGATTAACGAGGGACCTCCACTTGCGATCAAATGTAGTCGTAAGACTCGTTAGAAGGTCGCTACCTGTAATAGGAGATCCGTGTTAATCGCGTAGAATATGCGAGGCTTGACGCGGCATGAACTCATACGCCAAAAAAACACTCAAAGCACCGAATTGGTTACTTAGTCGTTATTGTAACGAATATATGTAATCGTGACACAATCGCTAAACAGGGTGAATACCAGTAAATGTATATGCGCTTTGTTTATCGCGCAACTGGTGAACTCTTGCGTGAGTGCATTCCTGCAGAAATAAAATCGCTGCGAAAGAAAAACGGCAATAGAAATAATATAAACAATAACAATAGCAGCATCGAAACACCGTCGACAGTAATTATTACAAAAGAATTGATTAATAAATGATTATTTTCAATTTCTTATCAGCATTCTCTTATATCACTCGGTTATTGTTGCTGTTATTAATAAAATAATCGTTGTTTCGACAGCTGTATACATTGCAATAATAACATAATTAGCATAATCAACACCTTTTCTTTTTTTCGTGCTGAAGCATGAAAATGATGAAGAAAATGTTCATAGACAATTGAAAACACAGAATGAGAAAGATATGTACATAGTATATATAGTATAAAGAAAGATATGTACACAGATGTACGTAATGTTGTAAATAAATATTTGTAAATTGCAATTTTTATAAAAAGTGTCGTCTAGTAATATAAAAATAAAGATTAAAAAGAAATAACAGAAGATACGCGACGTACGTAAAAGTATTTAAAAACAATATATGAACGGTATTGCTAAAAAGCACAAAATCATATAAAATACACGAAAAAAACGACTTGACTGAAGTATCTAAAAATTTATAGTTATACAATAGACAGATCTGTCTTTTCTGGTTGACAAAAATGTTTATATCATTGCTTAAGAAAGATTGCAAAAAGTTTTCTAGCAAAAAGACATTTTGAGAGTTTAAATATCCAATATAACTATTTTAATGATCCAACATAATTATTTTCAGATTTGTATCTAGCTAAATTTTTACTTCAGCAAAAACTGAAAAACATCCGCTAAAATCGCCAAATTCATTATTGCTTTTTCAAAGCAAGATTCGATATATCTTTGCGCAAATATTTTTCATTCTAAATAACGTGTTACATGACAATCTTGCAATTAGTGACGCTGTACATGTTATCGAATCCATTCATAATCATACGCTCAAACATCCGAACAGCACAAACGATGAAAATAAAATAGCACGGGGAAATAACATTGCAGGTTTCGTTGAATGCAACACCTGCTTACCAGCGAGACAAAGTAGTTCTGTCTAGCGAGTCAAAACAAAGAAAAAAAACGAGGGAAGTGTCCAGCGCGTGAAAGCCACGAAACTCGCTCACATTCTCCTCGATGGTAGTTGCAGATACTGACAGAGTTTACAGCGAATTTACCACACTGGGCGCAACGAGAGATGAACGCGGACGAGAATGGGCGTGGATAGCATGAACGAGAAAAATGGACGTGGCACGGATGTATAATAGACGGTTAGTCGTAGGAAAAGTATTACACAAATAACAACAGTGTATGTATGTATATCTGCGTGTATGAACGCGTGCTTTGTAATGTATGTAAAACTGAAAATAGTGTGTCAAAGCCATTCGGGTGAGTCAGCTGTCAGCTCGTTGAACATCTCGGATGCTGGATGCGGCTGATTTCCAGACTCTGATCTGACAGAGTGGACCTGTAATTTACCTCGGAGGAATCGGTTTAGAGTCTTGGCGGTGGTGGTGGGCTCGTTGGTCGCCGATGATGCGGTAGCTGCTGCAGACGCGACAACAGTTGCCAGCGATGATGCTGCTGCTGCTGCGGCTGCTGTTGCTGTCGTTGTTGCTCCTGCTGATGGTACTGACACGGGCACGGGCATGGGCATTGGCATTGGAACTGCTGCGACTGGCACTGGCATTGACATTGGCGACTGGGTCGGTGTCTTCGGGGCGGCGCTACCGGGACCTGCGGTACCGTATAGGTGGGACGATATGTACCACCAAAAACCCGGGCTTGCTGTGTGCCTATACGTGGTATTCAACCATTTCGTTTCGTCATTCGCACTCGTCATATAATTCGTGACAGCCGACGCGGCAGAGCACAAATCTCTTCCTCTCGTCTTCCTCCTTTGCGTCTGGACTCACCGTATGTCTTTATGGTTTTTTATCCGAGCTGTTATTCTTATCCGAGGTATATTCCTCACGAGCCGATTGGTGCCGCGTTCGATTATATTTTTGAGATCCGCTCAAAAAAATGAAAATAAATGCCTTGCACGACGGAAAGACTAAACACTGAGCTTAGCGAAGAGGAAGAAAAAAATAATAAAAAGAGAGAAAAAGCGCGGAGATTAAGAGCGAGGAGAATTGAATTTTTAGCCATTTCTCAGCCGTGATCGAGCGTTGACAGATTTAGTCCTCGTTCCTTTTAAAGCCCATGAATCTTCGAAGGAATATGCCGTCTCGGGCCAACTATGAAATTATATTTTTTTCGGGCGTGTCTGATCGCAAAGACGTAGACTGAGGCGGGCAGACAATAAATTTATAATTAAGAGCACAATCAATCGGCAAAGGCAGTCGTCAACGACAGAATTAGGCAGGCAGACGAGCAGTAAGATAAGTGTGAAATTCGGAGATGCGCACGTGTGTGATAGGAAGGTGCGAGACTAAATTACTTTCACTAACAGTTAAAACAGCCGCCCTATTAAAATATATCGCTTACGATGGTCACGTGTAAGAAAATGCCTTCATTCAAACTGCATCGTTAAGAAATTGCTCGTGATCGAGATATAAAGTGTGATTCTTCTCTAAGAAAGTTATCATTGTGAAGGCAAGCAACGGTTGAAGAATTATTCGAAGCGCTTACAATAGATCCTCCAAGGACATGCATGCGAAGAGAAACTATTTATCCGACAATTCGCATAGCCGGCATTAGAAGGGTTCAAGTATACTTTCTTTTTAGTTATTTTCACAACGGTATCCAATAGGGGTATTTTGTTTTTCCTGTTAGATATCAAATATAAAAATAAGATAAAAAGATGTCTCAATCCTTGCAACGCCGACGATACATCTATGAGAAAAAGTCGCTGAAGATCGCAGAAGCAGCCAGTGTGAAATAAATCTGTTTTTTTTTCAACGCTGAAAGCCAAAGAGTGGCATGCAGCACATGACAACAGCGTATAAATAGAGGATCGGTCAACAGGCGCGACGTGTAACTCTGAAAACGATATTTGCAATCCATATTATTAGACGCATTATATTTTTTACATACAATTTATTAACTTCTAAAGATCCTATTTATCATCATTATTGTAATCGATTGAAATATGTTATCTAAATAATAGAAAATAGTTATCTAAAATAGTTACAAAAATAGTTATCTAAAAAATGAATTTTTGATTCACTCATCGCTCATAATATCCATAAAAAAGTTGTAAAATAGACAGAAAAAACTCATATGTCTCCTGTTTCTATTTAAAAAATTCTGTTCTATGTGAAAAGAAAACTCAACCAAAATGACTCAAAAAACCTGTCATAAAAAAATCCGTCTAATAATAGGTAAGTATGTACATATATGTATACACACAGTACACTCATCCGAAAGACATCTCATGTCATCTGTTCGACGTGCAAATATCATGACGTCCACGCGACGTCCCTCGGACAAAATGTGTTGTGTGATTGTTTCTTCTTCTTTTTTTATTCCAATGCTCTTTTTGTGGCCGATCCTCCTTGCGCTTGGTCGCGAAAATACTAAGATAAGTATTTTCTAAAATTAAAGATCCGTTTTTTTATTACAAGAAGCCTCGTGTATATCGTAAACGTGTGTTCGTACTAAAGAATATGCGAAATAAGTTGCTACGCTCCGAACTATGTTCGCACGATAATGGCGAACGCAAAACGTAAGAGAATCGAAAGATTTCCGTACAATGACGTGATAACTTTGTAACATACACTTTATAATCGTTTTCTAAATTAATGGATAAAAATCATTTGAAGCAAATAAGAAGAGAGAATGTACCTAGAAAGCTTTTTGTTAATAGTGAGTATCTTCTGTGTCCACTGCAGAAAACAAGATCCTGCTACACTCACCAATCGTCAGAAGCGATATTATACAGAGAAAAAAGATATAAAAGAGAATATGAATAGAGGCAAATATATATATATTAAGGGATAAAAAGTATGCGTCCTAATTATACACGTGGATTTGAGAAATGGGAGTCGAAGATATCCGCGGAGAAACGAAAACAGATAAGCAAAATAATGTACCTACATTCTTTCATATACAATGACTATACTATACCGAAAATCGCAGCTTTAACTCTTGCGTTATGGTTTTTTTTAAGAATCAATATATATGTGAATGAAATTAATACATACACGAAATGCTGCAAAAATAGCGACGGAATTGTCTTTTTGATTATGTATCGCTACTTTTCTTGCGCAACTCTATACGTATAACGTACAATACACAACATATATATATATGGACCTTTTATAGCTCGCTTAAATTCCGATTATCAGCGTTTATATGATATTCACTAATTATCTATGAATATTCCTGTCGAGTACAAGAGAAAAACATTGTCGTGTGTTCGTACACTGCTTCACACAAATACACTTTTACGTATTTATCGCAATATATAACTCTGGAAATATATATCAATAGCACGAAAAATTTGCTTCGATATTTAGTGCATATGAGAAGACTCAGAACACGACATTACATTAAATTACAAAAGAATGTAATACTAACCATCATCCGAGCCATCGCCGGGAACACCTCGATGCTGCGACGGTGATGGAGAGGACTGCGAGAAATTGTGAACCTCGTGTAAAGAGTCCAGACTTCCGTATCGAATTGGCGGTAAACAAATCGACTCCATCGACGGCTGTAACGCCAACAAATTCGTGTAAGCAAGCTCGATCAGTCAAAAATAAAACGCATTAATAGGTTTATTCGTACTGCTTGAAATCCTTAATTTTTACACTTAAAACGAGAGAAAGCAAAGATTCTAATTGTAAGTGTAAAAAATGCAAGCAACACAAACACCTTTTGTCAAGTGGCAAAGTAATGCGCAAGTCAATTTCTGCTTTTTGAAAGTTGTGTAGATTTTAATGTCTCACAGAATAAAAAAATTGACTTATACCTTTACTATACCACGATCATTTAAACAAAAATCGTAATTTAGCTTACATCCTTATCCGTCTTAAATTTCTTAATGACTCCGTTGTTCATCTTTTCCCCTAGTATGTTAGTTAGTTGATTGCTAGCTTGGGTTTTTTGGTATATCGTGGGATGTTGTTGCACGGCTATGGATAACGGTGGTCTCGTGGTCGATCGCGACCTGCCATGTTTTTCGGGTAAATCTATTAATGATTTCTCAGCAAGCCTCTCATTCAGACTGGAGAGACGTTCCGATAAGAGGCTTGGCGACACTGTAGTGTCGACTATACTATCGAGCAGATCGTCATTCTCCATCTCTCGTTTCGCCAATTGCCACTCTATCTCAATTCTCCGTCTCTCCTCCTCTCTTTTCTCGGCTTCAAGCCTCTGTCGATGCTGATCTCTTTGCAACATCGCTTTCGTTTCTTCCTCGAATCGTCGTACTCTCTCCTGCGTGGTCGCACTTAAACCGGCGTACGTTAAAATCGTTACTTCGTCGTTACTTTGCTTCGTCTGGTTAGACGCGTTGCTGGACACAGTAGAGCTCGTTTCCGCTGAACTTAGACCAGTGTCAATCGACAATCTCGTAGAGTCTACAGATGGAGGTGCGGATTGAATCGCGTATTTAGTACGATTCAACGAAGAAGTTTTATGTGACAAATCACTACTTTTCGCGTCAACCGACAGAGAACGATCCGTAGAATGATTCGATTGATTCTTGTTCTCATGCATCTGCACGATTTCGCTTACGGAACACTGTCGCTCATTTAGGGCCATACTCTGTCGAATCGTCGGTGAATTCTCCAATTCTTGTTTCGACTTGGTCTAATTTATTAAATATTAAATTAATATGTTGATATATGTATACACAGACAAAAAAGTTATAATTATAATATAATATGATAAATATTATAATCACAAATGATAGTACTAACCTTATCATATTCACTGTTGTCGATTTCATCCTGATTCTTTCGTCTTCTTTGTATCTTTTTATTAGCTGCGGATATAATTGAGGATACGATGTCTCTAGCGGATGCCATATCACGCATGCCTGTTTGAGTACAATAAAGAAGAGATAAATACATTGCTTTTGTAGATAAAATGTAAAGTATGCTTCAACTATATTATTTGAAAAATATTATTTTTTAAAAGTCTACAAAAGTGCTAACAATGTCATTAATAAAATAGAAAAGAATGAGTATGTATTTAAGATAAGTACATAGAAGATAAAAAAAATGACTGAATATGAAATAATATGTAAGGATGTAAATATGATGTAACACATAAAAAATAACACATATGACCTTCGATTTTTTGAATGTTGTTTAATAGAAGACTATGATTGGATACTGGTTCAACTTCGCAACTATCGGTTGGAAGGCTTAAATTTACGCTCAATCTGCTTAAATCGTCCAGATCATCCTCCAAAAAGAACCAGTCGACCTGAAAAACATTGAACCGAAACATGTCGATATTTTATATTAACACTTAAAAAAACGGCATTTTCCTTGTTTAATGAAGACTTACGTTATTCAGTAGACTCTCGACTATTCTACATTGATGCGACATATCGGTGACCATAGTGACCATATTGTCTCTTGAACCACTCGCTCGTACCAGTGTTGGTCCGAAAACAATAGCCAAATTCTTCGCTTCCATTTTATTGATCTCGCTATGCTCTACTATCTTTTTTAGATGTTGCATTAAAAATTTCAGCGTCTCAAAATGAGGTTCTGGAAGATCTCGTAATAATTTTCGTATCGTGGTCATTCTCCTCTGTGGATCTTCTATCTTATCGGCGTCGATGAACATGGGATACAGCTCTGCTGTGAGCAAGGAATCGGGAAGTTGTCGGAAGAACGACTTTAGTAACGATGATATCACATTAACATCGCTCCACCTCGGATCCTGTAAAAAAAATAAGTCAAATTTCAAAAAATCTCGGAGAAAATATCCACGCCTATCTCGCGAAACATTGTCAGATAGGATACCTGAAGGTTGATGTTTTCGAATCCTCTGTTGACACTATCCGTGAGCTGGGCAATTGCAGCAGTGTTTCCCGGTACTCTGTAGATGCCCACAACCTCAAGTCCTCTTGCTTCGACAATGCTCGTGCACATCTCGACAATCAACGGCACGTACTCCGAAAACGAGGATGGCGGACAGAGTTCGAGAGGTACTTTGAAAGTGGCCCCTTCTGGTGGTAATTGCGCTGTAGGTGAAGATGGCGCGCCACCGGCTTGACCGTGCATTCTCCTAAATTGTTTCGCCATTCTTCCCTTCCAAGTTTTCGACTTAGGTGACGGTAAAGGTTCCACTATCTGATTACTTGGCTTGCGCGTTTTGTTCACCGGCGATTGACCCGTCGGCGATCGATTCCTAAATGATGTTAGTTTTTTTATGCCTTTGTGGCTCGGCAGAGGACTCAATCTTTGGATGTTACTCGGAGGAATACCGCTATTCGGAGTTGTGGGAGTTTGCGGAACGGCTTGCTGCTTCGACGTGCAAGATACAGCATCCTATAAATGAATATATCTTTATGTAACAAAAAACCTTGGATAAATCGGAGTCGTTAAAATAAGAACATCAGAGGACTTTTAATATTGGCTCTGTATCTTCATCTATTCCTTTTTATTGTTTCTAACTTAAATGATTCCGCAAAAAATAACCTATAATTAATGCTCACCGATGATCTTTCTGCAGCGGCGTGAGAATGAAGTGACCTTAACCAAAGAGCCATAGATGCTGCATCCTCGGTCTGTAAAAGCACTTCTGCCGTAGGATTTGCTACTCGTAACACGTGTTTTCGCTTCGTATAGTCTTCAGCGACGTCAACCACAGAACATCTAACGTCGACACTTTGTCCTGCATTTGTTTCGCTGTCGGTGCTCAACGAAGGACTCTACAAGAAAATTGCATTAATAAAATATTATGTTTTTTTTGTTTAATGTGGTCACGTTTGATATGGTCAATGTAATGTTTCAATGTTATTCACCTGGCTATGACGATCCTTATAGAAATATATTATAGGACCACGGAGAACACCCCAAACTTGCTTCCAGGAACGATCGGTAGATCGCTAAAGGATTATTAAATATAGTTAAAAAAAAACAAATATCGTCAATACATTCAAATAAAATTTATTTGTTGAACTTGTGATCTCACCTTGCCATCGAGCACTGCGAATTTAACATGGAGTGTTCCCTCCCGTTCCACTGGTTCAACATCCTTTGCAGTTTCATCGCAGCTGTTTGAGGTATCATGCGCCACAGCAATGCTATTACTGGAAAATAAATAAAGCCGTTGTTTGTAAATGTGTGCATTGATACTTTCTATTTAAGTATGAAATGATACAATCGTGATCCATCTTCAATTTCAAAGATAACAGGAGAAATTTTACCATAATATTATTCACAACTACATTCATTTCTTTCTATATTCTCATTTTTTTTTTTTTTTTCTAAAAATTGAAAACAGCGATCACATCGATCTTTAGCTTATTAATGTCATTCCGTTAGTAACAATCAGCCAAATCAATATTTGAAAGGACACTAACATATCCATCTATAGTGTCAGGAAATCTAGAACGGCATAACAGGACGAACACAACATATGATTTTAATATCAGAGCCACGAACAGGAATGTGTCGCATTTTATGCGTCTATGGACGTATATCCCTTATCATAGTAGGAATAATAAACAAGAAAGGATATCTTATCTGACGCCACTTGCGAGCAATTAACGCGTACAAATTGCGAGGCCGTGATATATTCGGTGTATATCTCTATTGAGAAATTATCAGCGCTCTTGATTCATTACGCTTTCCTACTCTTTATTTCATTTCTAATTTCTAATTATTTAATTTTTTGTTCTCATTTAATTTCATTTCGTCTGATTTGAATTTATTTTTTCGTAGGCAAGCATTATTTTCTACAATGCGTTTTTTTTTTAATTTAAATTGTTGATATTATAATAGATAAAAGTTTTTCATTTCTTTCGAATAATTTGTTTCGCTTAAGAGATATTCAAATAAATAAATAAATATATATATATATATATGTATATGAAAGCGCGCTTCCTATTTTTAATTTAATTTTATTTTTATTATGTAAATTTTTTTAATAATTTCTAGATTTTTTAACTCTGTAGTATGAAAAATAGTACACCTTTAAACGGCCGTTTTTTTTTTAAATTTTACTAAAAGATGTTACACAAAATATGATACACTCTCATGCTTTATCGGCATTGCTACGCGATTATTCGTCACTCACCACCATTTACAGGCAGGTAAATAGCGCAAACATATATATACAGAAACGACGAGCGGATCGAGAGTGAGAGAGCGAAGGCAAATGTACATTAGCTTAGAGGAGGAGACGCGGAGCATAGATAATACAACTTTTTTTCCGTGCTTCGCAAACGGAATCTTTCGCCCTCACCGATGATGAGAGTTTCGATGTAAGGACGCGGCTTGCGTCATATCCTCAAAGATGCGTCGCAGGGGCGTTATGTCACTCGGAAATAACGGCGGTCGCCATCGTCTATGCGCACTGGAAACATGGACACGAACAGGTGCACAGCTTCGAGACATACTTACAGTTAACACCTTTGAGGTGATAACGAAATTGCCAACGTTGCTCATTATTTCATCTTGCGCGAGCAAAACTTATGAGAAGCATGGGAGGAGAAACGTATTATCAACAATATCTTTGTGCGTTCGAGAAAACACAGTTCGGTGACTTGAAATTAGCACGAAACAGAAAAGATCATTTACCTTCTGTGAATGTGAACGGGTTCAGAATCGCTGAGCTCCAGATCACTATCGACATGCATTCGTTCGCCCCACGTCGCTTTCAGATATGAAACCCGTCTGGTAGCACGATCCTCGTCACCTATTGAATTATGATCATAGTTTCCTCCTTTTTGTTTCATGAAATTGTAATTATGACGCTTTCTTTCTTATAATTACTTTAATTAATTACTTTTTGAAGTTTTGAAACGCTTACAAATAAAATATCTATATAAATCTCCATAGATGTCAATGTTTAAATTATATATATTTATATATTTATAGCGATAAAATAACATTGTTTGATAAATAAATAAACCAATTGTTCAAGACAACCACTTAAAACTACAATTTTATTATAATTCGAAGCACATGTATAAAAACAATCACTTTTTCCTGCACGGATGTGAAGCTGAATTATAATAGTATTGTATTGTCAAGTGGCGTCTGCTTTAAATAACTGATTTATTACGTGTGAGAGAGAAGTTTCTGGCGTAAGCGTGAGTGCGATCATAATTTCGATAAAACGCGTCGCGCTTAACGCATGCGTCGCAATAATTGCACGTAATGTTAAAAATATCTTCATCGTTTAAACTCACTGATCTGTGCATTCTTCTGTCGCCTAAGTACCGCGGCGTTATTGGTCGAGCCGTTGGGTGAAGAACCATTGACTGACGCTGAAAGAGAAATCAATGGGACGATTATTAACGCTTTATGCTCGACCTTTATGTAACACGAACATGTGTGAGTGTACGATGTGTATCTGTAAAGACAAGTGGTAGCGGCTGAAGGGACTAACCGATTTGCAGTTTGGCTGACTGCAAGTAATTGTCCTGGTTGCGGTAGACTTTACTGTTGTCCTCGGTGCTACCTTTCTCTTCAGCGGTCTGCCACGTATGCCTGGCACTGCTTCGTGCCGTTGGACCATTCGTAGCCTCCCAGGACTCCGCGCTGTTACTGCGTGCTCTCAAACGCACTGATTCTGTCTCCATAGTAGGCACATCTACTCGATTAAACGAAGGGATTATTATAGGCATCGGCGTGGCGTATTATTATATTTCTAGTATAAACCATTGTGAACAACATCTATCACTTTGTTAATAACCAACGGAAGTGGAGTATATATAGCGTGTGCGCTGTGTTGTTGTCGCTATGTAAAAGCGCCAGCGGATACATCGTTGCTATTTTGAATAACCGACATATCATAAGAAGCTCGACAACAAAAACGTTGGATGCAAGGGGGCAGTTAATGTTCCCTTTGTGCATAATGTTATATCAACAGATTCCGGTATACCACAGCTTTATCCAGTTACTTCCGCTTGAAAATAATCTCGGACAGATCGCACGTCTTTATCAGACACAGTTCTAAACGATAAATTTATTAAAATTGCGATTTGTTAAAATTGCGGTATATTAAAATTTTTTATATTTATGTTGCGTTGTAGGAATAAAAATATATCTACTTTTATTTTAGTTAGAGCGTGAGAAGCGGGCAAGGTGCATTAATTATTATATCATCTACTATATTAACGATTATAATATGCTCACAATATATTATAGTGTGAACTAACGCCACATCGCGATCGCATTCACACTGAATGCAAACGAATCACTGACAACGCAAGAGCGGCACAAGACGACAATGCAAACAATATTCGACACAGCTTCTTAATTTTATCTACCTTTACTCTCTTTATAGTCGGCTGGTGGCTCGCAATGGATATGCTTGCTGCCTATAGGAATTATTCTGTTGCCTGTCAATACTGCACCTAAACGACGATACTTGTTTACTGAGCATTGATCTGAACATTGCTAATTTGATCTAATCCTAATCATGAAATTCATAGCGATTACTATCAAAGCATCGGTCGATAAGAATCTACAATGAGATATTAGATTAGTGCAAAAGATTGGTCGCTTTTTCACGTTCCGCGATAAATAAAGTTAATATGTCGAAGTTTTTATTTATTGTGAATTGAAAAGTATCTCCTCAGATAAAGAAATAAATATATTAAAGGCAGTAGCAAAATAACTTTGCTTCAATTGTGTTCTAATGTCAACTTTATTTGACAAATGTGACGACAATCAGTTTGCACTAACTTAAAAATAGAAAAGCGATTAGATTGCTCTTAATTGACGCTCACCAGTGTCAAGAGATTTTGTTTCTCTGGTCGGTAGCCTTCTCGAGTCCTGATTTTCAGCTTTGGACTCGAACTCTCGTTTTCGCACAGCCACATTCGGTACACTTCTCTTGTTCGACAATCTGGACAACTCACTCTTATAGAGATTCGTTCGATCGCCCGCAGGCTCATCCTCGTCACTCAGCAAACGACCGGACTCAAACTGTTTGGCGCGTCTCGAGACGATCTGTAGGCCCTGCGGCGGTACCGGAAACCTAGTGTCAGCGCTGGCTTTCTTATCCGGCCCCGGGGAAGATGGTAGCGATGAAGAACCATTTCGCGTCTCTTGCGATGTCTGTTGCTGATTCGTACTAATATTCTCATGTATTCTTGATAGGATGCTGACGAAACTACCTTTGTTTGTACCTCGATATTGTTCTTTTGCGAGCTCATTGTCATAAAAAAGTGACGACGAGTAACAGTGATCTCCGACACTAGTCTGATTGTTTTCAAATTGCTGATCATTCCGCGACTTTGAATACTCAGAGTTAGAGTCCACGTCCTTTATCCTCTGCACACTCTGATTTGACGGCTTGTTCCCTAGACTTGTGATGGTCTTGGTAACGACGTTTCTCTCTTGAGATCTTCTTGTAGGAGATTGCTGTCTCTGTTGTTGCTCATTCTGGCCGGGCGGCCAGATTTGTCTCTGCAGCTTTTGTGGTCTCGCGTAAAATTCCCTCTGGATCCCTCTGGAGGCTTGATTGAAATTTGGCAGTAGCGACGTCGCTGAATCGAGAGACCAACTAATAGGATGACTCGGTCGCCGCAGAAATTCCGCCTTCTGCTCGAAACTCTTACGAAGTCTGTTCATGATGACGGAATCGTCGGAACACTCGTTGCCGGTCAGAGTGGAATTGGAATCGTAGGGAGACATACTTTCCTTGCTAGCGGCAGGCGATGAGTCTCGTCTTGATTCGATGCTTAATCTGCTGGATTCGCTTGATCTCAGCGCGTCAATACTGCCATAACTCGCTGTCTCGGAATCGAGAGTGTTGCCGCTGCCTTCGCTGGCCCGTCGCGCCACCATTCGCTTAATCGGCCGGTAGATCGGCACCTGCGGTTCTGCCTGCGACACCGGATAACGCAGCAAAGACGGCTGGTAATAATGCTGGTCGCTAACACGCACACGCTCGTAAATTGGATCATTAATTCTGTCATAGAGCTGTTCGTTGCTCGGCCGCGAGTATACTGACTCGGGCCGGGTCTTGTCGTACAGATCATACTTCGAATCCAAGGACAATCGGCCGCTCGGTTGCACATTATCCTCATGCAGCAATTGCAGCTTCCTTCCAGAAACTCGAGAATCCTCCGAAAGATCGTATAACGCGCTTACTTCTGGTACACCTCTTCGCTGCTGCAACGCGCTTGCGATATGAGATTCAATCGGAACTTGAGACATCATTGATGGCGGTATCCTGCATATTTCTTCCTCGAGATGATTTGGACTTTCGGACGACGATAGAGTACAAACCCAAGACTGTCGTGTTCTTGGCGATCCGCCCGGGATCATGTTGCTCATTGACCTGCGTTGCTTCTGCGACAGTCTCTCTGGAGAACGCAACCGCGGTCGTTGATTCGTCTCGGGATTATGCGCCGTCTCGCCAAAGTACTAGGAAGTTTAGAAAAATATCTCTTATTCGTGTTATAATTATTCTTATTGTTCAAAGCAAGAACAATTTTGCTGAAATATCTAAAAAGTCAGGTAAATACTGATTGAAAAATAATTTTGTTTGTTCATCAAAAGAATTATGTAGGACGCTCAAATTGATTGCTAGAAAGTCAAAACTTCTTACATCATTGCTCTCATTATGCTCGAGTTTCCTACGTAATTAATTTGATTTCTAATAACATTATTTTCAGATCTATATCTACTTAAACATTTAGATAATTTTTTAGCAAAATCGCTGTTCTCATGTAGTCATATAAAAGTGTGTAGAGAAAATATAAAATTGCGTTGGGGATATTAAGAAAAAATAATAAATTTCTTTCTCAATACTGCAGCATCGCGGTAATAAAATATAAGCGTCAAAAATAAAGCAAAAGATAAATGACATTTTGCGGATAAGAAGGTAACTACTCATGCGAACGCAAAAGAATCTCACGTACTCGCTGCAAAATGTCGTCCTCTTTTGAGACTACGAGGAGGCGTAGCCACGGTCCCGCTTGTTGAATGCGTTGTACCACGCTGGCGTATTGCTCGCCCCGAGTAGGCGTACCGTCGACGGAGACGACGCGGTCACCGGTGCGCAATCCGGCCTCGGCCGCCGGCGAATTTGCTCGCACTTGCTTTACGAAGATCGTGTCCATGGGCTCGTCAACATTGGTCCGCTCGTGTCCCGGAAGCATCTGCAATGTATGAAGTATTCTCTTTCATTCGATTTAAAAAACCCACTTCACTTGCTTCGGTCGATGACACTCACGTAACAGGACTCGGGCGGATAGACGATGAAATGTCGCAGCGTAAATCCGTAGCCATTTTCGCTTCGCCGGAGCAGGAGGGTTCGAGGACCACGAGGTGGCGAGTTCTCCTTCTGAACGGATCTAGGAGACGTCGAATCTCCTGAACCAGGGCCCGAATTCGGCGCTGGTGGTGGTGGAGACGAGTGCCCTACCTATGTACAATTAATTGATGAATTTTAGACGAAACTTTGTGATTTTTGTTAACAGGAATCCTTGGAATGGAAGAAGCAATTGTTTTGTTATGTTAGCAATTTTATTAAGCGCTGATTAAGAACATATTAACATATCGTTTGTATACATCTTACACGATCTTTATATAGTATACAAATGTAAATTTAGACGCGCAATTTTGGCTGTTTTTAAACTCCATTTACAATAAAGTTATTTTAATTAATTTTTTTCAAAATTTTTTTTCAATTTAATTTATCATCTCACTTTTATATTGGCAATACACATGTACTGTAACATAAAATTATCAGTTAAAAATTAGATTTCGTAATAGAAAGTATTAGTGTTAAGAAATGACTACAGTAATTTATAATCTGCGATGATTCCTTGTAATTATTTTTGTAAAATGGATAGATCCAATGTTTCAGGATGTTTTTCTTTGTATTAATATTAGGTGAGTCATTTATGAATTTATTATTTAACGTTCAAAATACTTTATTAATACGTTAAATTTAATAGAGGTTTCAACATCAAGTCTGATGTGACTCCAATTATAGATACAAAGGAAGGATATTAATATTGAATTAACTGATTAAGACTCCAAAGTGAGTCGAAACGTCCTAATTTGTTGGAAGAAAGAATTTTTTACACTAATCCTCTGATCATTTGATTGCGTACGAAGTACCACGCCGCACTCTCACTCGCCTTAGATTACTGGAGTTTACGTGTAAGAAAAAAGATAAGGAATAATTTTGCCCCAGTAATATAGTAAATGTAAAAAAAATCATTACATTAACGGAGTTAAAAATAGATCATTTTGAGGGAAATAAAAATGTATATATAATGTAAAAATTCTATAGAAAATGTTTATCTTTATTGAAAAACAAATTTCTTGATAAAAAAGAAAGTAACAAGTGTGAATATTAGGACGTGATTTGTCAATTTTTGTCAGAATAGAAACCATGCGGACAGGAACGCGGTGATCAGAACACATACGTTTCTTACATTCAGAGTATATTTCATTCTTGTTCGCAATGTCGCTTAGCACAACTACCGCATTTTGCTCGATGTGTTTTCCTTAATTACAAAACTAAATTGCGGCGGAGGCATTTCAGTATTAAGAATTTTCGCAATATTCTTGTGCAATCCTGTTCGCACCTTTACGTTAGCCAAACACTGCAGCTGGTTATATCTTCGCTTAGTTATGCCAGAAACATTAATCGGAAATAAAAAAAAAGCTCTCGATGTCAAAACAATAAAAGGATAAAACAAAGGGCAATTCGAGAGTTACCGACAATTACAAATAAAAAGTTTTCACATATAATAAATTTAAAAAAATGTAATTAATAAGAATTTAAAATTGAAATGATTAATAAATGAAAAATGTCAAGTGTTTCATTAAAGAAATGGACGTTTGCTATGATTTTTTTTCTTCCATGATACAAAATATATAATTCTTTACCTGATATATTTTATTCTCAATTTTAGATGTTTTTTTTCTCTAAATTCAAACCACTTGACTACTTAAAATTATCTCGATCTCTCGCTCAATATTAGTGATAAGCACATTTAAGTAAGGCGAATAAGAATCGTAAAAATATATAGGTATCTATCATGTCATATATCTTGCATGTCGATGATTTCCAATACGTAAACGTGTTAATAGCTATCATCGCTTTGAACAGCTAACAGACATCACACAGTTGTCAAACATTGAAGGCCAGATTAGGTTCAAATTACCGAAATAGAATTCCAAATTCACATGTAAAATGTATATTTACGAAACATCGATCAAATTCCTTCTCTTTCTCTCTTTCTCTCTCTTCTCGATTTGTACCGTCTGGATAAGTCGATTGATACTAGGAAAATCGATCCAATACGAAAACGCGGCAGACAGACTCGTGGATATCCGCCAAGAATTATTCCAAGCCGACTCTGAGGCGGATGCGGCGGAGAGCTGGAAAGACATTTAGCACATTCTCGTTCTCTATCGTGCAGGGAGAGTTGAGTAAAATTTGGCGAACCGCCAAAAAATACGCCGCTTGAGTTAGCTATAATGCGCACCTAGGATCGGGATGAGCGGAATTCGTGTCTCTCGAAATGAAAGTCACGGAAGCAAGCACAAGAAAATATTCGAGATAGAACTAATATTGTCGAGAAAATTTCAACGAATAATAATAATAAAGTTCAAAAGCAGCCGCTAAAGATTAAAAGATAAAGGAATTTTTCCTGGAACACAAAATAAACGTTCCAAGTTCTCTTCCTTTTTTTTAATATACGTATAACTTGTCTTAATCCTTAAACAGGAACAACGGTATGGTTACGGTATATCCACAACCTAATTCGATTACTTGAAAAACTTTCATAAAAATAAGTATATTAATGCGAACAATTTTTCTCAACTAAATAAGAAGAAACGCCACTATGATCAAAGTTTAGATGTTGGATTAATAATTCTGTATATAATTTGTTCTAAAAACATTTGCTTTAGATTTATAACTGCACACCCATTATTTTAAAACTTGCAACACAATCAAACTATTACCAAAACTATTAACAAAAAAAATATTACCTCAGCCAGTATTTAAAATCGGATCTTCTCTCGTGAAATTTTTTGCGAATCAAAACGCCAGACATTAAAGAACGTAAGTAAATATATCTATGTATCTTCATTAATCCTTTGTGGACTGGCGATCCCATTTGGAGTCAGATCTTTTATTTTTAAACTGTCTGCTTGATTTTCATGAAACTTGACCTACAGGTTAATTTCATAATGTTTTATTCAAATATGAGATCGAAAAGAAAAATTTTAAATGATCGCTCTAACATGGATAGATTTTTTTAATAATCTGTTATAAATTTTACATAGTTTTAAGGACTTTTTTAATGCAAAGTAAAAAAACATTAAGTATCCAGTTTCGATTTATTTGAAGCTCATCAGTGCTACACAACGATTAATATTGATTTCCAAATTAATTTTTTACCTCTAATTATGAGCTTTATGACACTAAATCCTCCTTCATTGGAGATTGCTATTTTTTTTAATTTGACATTTTTTTACGTTGTATTCAAACTCAACGACATCTCCAAGAATTTCTTAAAACTGATCTTAAAGACTGCATGAGCATATTTCAGATATTAATAAAAATTTAAAATCTCCCCATCGGTGATTTCTAATCACCGCATTGAGAAAAATCACGATTTTAAATGGGATAATGTGGAGATATTAGATATAGAACCTTCATACAATAAAAGATTGATATCTGGAAATGGTGCATATTAAAAAACAATTACATGGGATAAATAGACAAAATGATACGGAGTCATTACCAAAATTGTATTCTAACATCATACATTCTCTTTTCCCTTCCTAATATCTTCCTTCTGTCTCCCCTCTTTTTTGCCATTTCTCCTTTCCTCATTATCTTCCAGTTTAACATTACATCATATGAAGCCGTTAAGTACAGATGTGTCCATCTAACGATATTAAGTCAGTTGCAAAATTGTTTAAAATAATTTGTGCCATCAAAATAATGGATGGAAATAGACACGCTTCTCTCATCTTCTTTTTTATTGTTTGACTAAGGTACACTTATATATATTTATAATTAGATATTTAATATTAATTTTTTTATTTCATTACTATTACTTAGATAATCTTTTTATTGTTAACGTTTAATTTACAACATTGAACAGAGTGATAAATTCAGAAAATCACGATTTAATTATTATTATTTATTTAATTTAATTTTTGTAGAAGATATTTTTGTGTAATTTAATTACCGTTTAAAGATTTTTTAAATATAACATTGAGAATGACCCGATCGGAGTCGAAACGTGTGTATTATTTATTTATTATATTAAAATTCTTTGTTACTTTATTTATATATGGTTATTATTATTTTTTAAATTTGAATTGATTGTTATTACTGGTTCTTTGCCCTTATTCTGTTTTATTTTGTTTTATACATATAGAGCCTTATAATTTATTATTCTTAAAACTGAATTATTACAATAGAGATAATCAGATCATTAAAAAAATTTTTTATATTTTTGAATTCTGAGGCTAGAATTAAATTCAGCAATCCCGAAAACTTTGAAAAAACCAGATTTTCATTAAATTTCTTAATTAGAAAGCTTCGGTCTTCAAAAGCTTAACAAAAAAGTTGTATTGGAAAATCATTCGAAGAGAAGTTAAGTATACGCCATATCGAAAAGGTGTTTAAAGGGTTAATTTCCGTAAGATAGCTCAATGGCGGAAATGTAATTCCTATTTCGAATATACGAAGATGAGGAATAAGATTAGAAACTAAAGTAAACGGTGGTCGGTAATGGCGATAAGACGGCGATCAACGAGTTTCGCGGTTTTCCGCGTTATCTAATCCGCTCGAATGCATTTCGCGCGAGTGCCATGGAATTGAGCGTATTAACGGTACCAAAATCGAAACGTCAATCGATAGCATCTTCTTTTTTATTCAACCGTCCCGTTCGATAGTCACGAATAAACACGACACCAGGCGAATAAAGGGAATCGATAATATCGGGAATTTTGTCGAGGGTGACTGCGTACCTCTCCGTTATTATTGTTTCGCGCCATGCGGTTTTCCGGTATTTCGCGGACGAGCGAAGTCGGTCGATCGGATGTTCCTGTGCATGGAAAACAGATCGTACGGACGTGAGCGAGCGTCGATGACGATGTAGGTCAGAAGAGAATAGGCGTTGTCAACGGCAAGTGGGTCACCAAACCATGCAGAGCGCGAAGAGGCAACGGTCAATAATTATACACGGACACGTTTGTGTCGCGACGTCTTTGGGACACGCATGTTACCGTCCCTCCCCGCTCTTCTGGTCACGCATCGTAAATCGCGACGTTCGATATATCGCTAAACACGTCTTACTCCCGGACGGGAAGTCGATGATGGGGGGCATCAAGCAGGCAGGCCAGGAAGAGAGATATTTACGTATGCACATTGAAATCCACTTG